TCAACATCTAACTCTTAAGTTGATAGGATGAGTACAAATAATGATATATCAATCTTGTATGCTAGACTTGATCATATAAATATTTTTAAATTAAGAATTATGATGTAAAAAAGTTTAGTTAATGGTCTTTCTAATCTTACTACTTCTAGTAATAATAAAGTTTGTGAAGGTTGTCAATATGATAAAGCACAAAAATAACTTTTTGATATATCACTCAACAAATTTTTATTAGAGCTTATTCATTAGTGATGTAATAGGTCTTACTTAAACTCCATCTTATCTAATTTTTCTCGTTATATGCTTTTTTTTATTATTGATTTTATAAGGTTTAGAATAAGAAATCAAATTTTTTTTAAATTTTAAAAGTTTAAATTAATAATTAAAGATATTCTTAAAATAAAAATTAAAATATAACACAAATAATAGCAAGGAGTTCACTTCTAATAGATTCTTCTCTTTTTGCAAAGAACATATCATCAAAAGGGAACTCACTTGTTCAAACACACCACAATAAAATAACATACTAGAATGAAAGATTCGACGTCTCATGGAGACGTGTAAGTATTAGCTTCATGCAAAAAATTTATTTAAAATATTATAAGCAGAAAAAATAGCATGTACAATTTATGTTCAAGCTATTATCATTCCAATCAATCTAAAGTCTCTATATGAGCTCATGTTTAGTAGAACCCAAATGTTAAATACTTCATAATATTTGTTTCTCCATGCTATATTTAGTAGAACCTAAATGTTAAATACTATGGTGAAAGGAAGAAAGGTTGAAAATGTATGAATTCATAAACACATAGGTTTATGGTATCTCAAGATATTATATTTGATAAAATTTATTTTTATTATCCTCCACAAGTAGTTTTTTTTTTTAATATCAATCACAACAATCCACACGTGTTATCTGAGAAGAAGAAGGGGAAAAAAAATAGGAGATGACAATTTGGAAGACCCGGCTTATGGGCTTTTAATTTCTTCCTATTTATAGAGGCTCATAGTAAACTTTACCCTAATAGATCTTGCCCTATTGGGTATTGAATCTCCATCCAATTACCCAAGCCTCTTAGATTAGTAGGTCTCTACCTAATAATCTCTTATTAGTTTTTATTAGATCTCATCTATAGGATCTAATAATTCAGGGGCTTGTTGGATATCCAATAAGATAGGGGCTCCGATGGATATCTTATATCCGAGCCTCTACTCATCGTAACGCCTACCATATATGTGTGACCCTCTAGGTCCAACATCGAGCTGGTCATGAGTTATACCTATCAAAACTCCGTCTAACTCAGTGAATTATTATCTTCATAATAATTCATAATTCACTTGACTCATCAACTGTAGATGTACTAGGCACTACGTTACAGTCATCAAATGATACAAGGCAATCCAATCCTTTGGACCTCTCTGTCCTTAGTTACTGTATACCTATAGTCCCTTATCCATCTAATATCATAGAGATCATATACCAGGCATGTTGCTGTCATGTCCATACAGTTTCTTCTCAAGTCTCGTTCTAATCAGATTCTCTTAAAGAACTCTTTTTCTCTTAATCTGAATGATCTTGGCCAAAGATTTGTTTGAGCACAAACACACAAGATATTTCTCTCATGATTATATATTGACACTCAATAGCCCCTGTAAGGTTAGCTGCCACTCCCAATGATAAACTATACTATATCTAGTACTTCCAAACTTATAAGTCTGGTATCAAAGAATGGAGTACTTATGTAGGACATCCTTAGTGTCTCAAGTCTAAGGACCATATATACTATTGAGATGACGGAATCGATGTCTGACAATGAGGTATCATCACCCATCAAGTATTCCGTAAGCAGATTAATTAGTGAACTCATTCTCCAATGAGCACCTGCACTGTATCCCTAATGTCCCCACACGAGCAGCTATAAGACTAGCTGCCTCCATCATATGGATAGGTATACAGTATACTAGTCTCTTCGGTCATCTCGATGTCCCTGTCGAGTAACCTATGAACATAATTATTTAGAGTTTATGTTTAAAAGTGAATCGGTCTCTTTATCGTGATCTCATCATAATCCGATTCTCATTGCACAGATCTATAGACATCACAATATATATATACAATAAGAAATATAAAGTAAGAGAATGTCATAATAATAATAAACAAAAAGACTACGTGTCATGTCATACGTGTCATCACTCACGTGATTGGCTTGTAGGGCACCTATGATTAGCAATCTCTCACTTGACCTAAAGTCAATCACCTACGTGTTTGATCTTCATCAAACCTCTGTGACGCTCAAAGACAATCTGAAACAATAGCTTTATTAGTTGATCTACAATGTTATCTTTAGATGAAACTATTTCCACTACTATATCTCTTCGGCCACGATCTCTCTAATAAGCTGGAACCTTCTCAGAACACTTCTGAT